CGGAGGGAGAGATGAACCATAGAGACTATGGACTCTGAGAAACTGAGGGTTTTAGAGAGGAGGGGCGAGCATGGGTTAGCCCGGTGATGGGTATTAAGGAGGGCACGTACTGCATGGAGTACTGGGTGTTAAACGAAAACAATGAATCGTGGATCACTACATCAAAAACTAATGATTTATTGTATGGTGAGTAACATAACATAATAAAATAAAAATTTGTTAAAAATTGCAGGTGTAGAATATTCACATTTTATAACTTATCTTGTCAAATTGCCCTTCAGAAGGAAGTGTACTAACATATCCATGTCAGTTTATAAGACCTTCCTATTTCTACCACATATTCACCAAAACAGTATTTTTTTTATGATTGGCTGTTTTATTTTTAATTCATTTGAATTAATTTGATCATTTATTGTTATTCTTTTGTGAATTATTTTTTATCACTTGTCTAATTTCATATTGTGTTTTCATATTTTCCTTTTGGATTTAGAAGATATTCCTATTTATTATAATTAATCTGTGTCATTGTCTTTTAATTTTGTTGAAGTATTCTCTGATACACGAGATGTTGAGATTTTATTTAGCCAAACATTTTCTTTTAAAGTTTCTGTACAGAAAAAGAGTAAATGTAAGAAAACACCCACTTCCCCAACTCAGGAAATTTTAACATTTTGTTAGTTTGAACCAATTTTAAAAATATATTACAAAGAAATTTAAATCACCTATGAACAAAATTGCCAATCCCATTTCCTCCCACCTCTTCCATCAAGTCAACTATGATGTTTGGTATGTAATCTTCCAGATACTTTTTAAATAAACTTTTTTTATAGTTTAATGTATTTAAATATCAAACTTACAGGAACAGCACAGAAGACCAACAACATTAAAAACATGTACTTGCATGTAGGACAACTCAGTTAGAAAAGTATAGCACGTGATGGATCTACTGTATGATAAAAATGCTACAAACTTTTAATGATAGAATAGCTTTAGATTTACAGAAAAGTAGCAAAGATAATACAGAGATCCTGTACACCCCTCACACAGTTTCCCTGTTGTTAACATCCTTCATTACCGTGGTACATTTGTCATGACTAAGAAACCAACGTTGGCAAATTGCTATTAATTAAACTCCACATTTTATTCACATTTCACTAGTTTTTCCACTAAAGTCCGTTTTCTGTTCCAGGATCCCATCCAGCATATGTTATATTTAGCCATTATATCTCTTTAGTCTCCTTTGGTTTGTGAGAGTTTCTTACATCTTCCTTGTTTTTCATAACCTTGGACATTCTGATCAGGTGTTTTGTATAATGTTCCTCAGTTTGGGTTTGTCTTATGTTTTTCTCATGGTTAGAATGAGGTTATGGCTTTTTGGGAAAAATATTGCAGAGATGAAGTGCCCTCTTCCTCTTATCATATCAAGGGGGGGGTACATGATATTAACGTGACATATCACTGTGATGGAACTATTACTTTGATACCTTGCCAAGGTAGTATTACATGCATCCATACTGATATAAATAGAGGACTGAATGAATAAATGGAGAAGAGAAGAGAGACAAATCTTCCTTGTAGAATTCCAGATAATGTTATAGATACTACTCCCTCCAGGAGGTGTATTCAATCCCTCCTCCCCTTGAGTATGATCTGTGTCTAATGACATGCTTCTAAAGAACAGAGTACAAAATGGGGAGAAAAGGTAATTTTACAGTGGAGAAATTATATATATTTTAGTATTATTGTATATACATTTATACATCCATAAACATGTATAGTTTTATTTTAACAGTCCTGCAAAATGCTTTTTTTCCTCTAAAAGATTAGACATTTTATATCTCTCCATGTTGACATTCGTATAAAGAGAGATTTAGTTCATTCCTTCCAATTGATATACATCATATTTCATTACATAAGTATCATATTTTATTATTCCATTGTATTACTTATTCCAGTATTTTGCTATTACACACTTCAATGAATATCTCTGTATCTGTCTTCTGGGCAAATATGTGAGATTTCTATAGAGTGTATATCAAACAGTGGAATTTCTAGATTGTGGGAGGTGGGTATTTTCAACTCACTGGTTGTTGCCATGTATTCACCAATTGCAGTAGAACCAGCTCACTATATAATTGGCAGGACTTGAGAGTTCTTTCCTTTTCATCAGCACAATACTGGATAAATACATTGATAAGGTTATTTTGCCCATTCTAAGTCCTTTTTATTGAGCCAGAAATTTTCAAATCAGCTGATCAATTGTTACAAAAACTTCTCGCATGCTGGTTGATCTGGCTGGAATTGATCTGGTTGGAAACCACGGATCAATTTGGAGAGAATTTATATCTTTAAAATATCGAGTCTTCTAACTGAACATAGTATAGTATATCTGCATTTATTTTAGTCTTCTTTAATTTTTCTCAGTAATGCTTTACTGCATAGATTTTATACATCTTTTGTCAGATTCATCACTCAGTATTTTTCATTTTTAGATGCTATTGAAGATGGCATTTTTTGCTAAAATTTCAATTTCAGACTGTTCCTTAGTAGTATATAGAAAACAATTGACTTTTGGATGTTTCATTTTCTTACCCTGCTGCAATGGGAGTAAAATCTTGAATGGAAGTAGTTAAGAATATCACTTTCTTGTTTCTGAACTTAGAGAGAAAACATTCAGTTTTTCATAAGTAAGAATGATGCAAGCTGTAGGTTTTTTGTAGATGCCCTTTATCAGTTTGAGAAAGATCTCTTCCATTCCTATATTGAGAGTTTTTATCAGGAATGAATGTTGGATTTTGTCAAATGTTTTTTCTGCATCTAATGAGATGATTAAGTGCCTTTTCTTTTTTAGTTTCATAAAATGGCAAATTACATTAACAGATTTTTTAATGTTAAAACATTAAACCAACCCTTATATTATTGGAATAAACCCTATTTAGTTATGATGTATCATTAATTTTATTTTATTATCATATTGTTAAGTTTGAGCTAAAATTTTGTTCAGAGTTTTTGCATTTATGTTCATGAGATACTGGTTTGTGATTTTCTTTTTTTTAAACATTGAATTAACTTTTCTTTCTTTTTTTTTTGTTACAAGTTTTTATTTAAATTCTTGTTAGTTGGGGCACCTGGGTGGCTCAGTCAGTTAAGCGGAAGTTAAGCAGAAGTCAGACTTCTGCTCTGATCTTGGGATTGTGAGATTGAGCCCCGTATCAGGCTTTGCACTGGTTGTGGAGCCTGCATGGGATTCTAGCTCTTCCTCTTCCTCTGCCCCTCCCACACACTGCCCACTCTCTCTCTCTCTCAAAAAAAAAAAAAATTCTAGTTAGTTAACATGTAGTATAATATTGGTTTCAGGAGTAGAATTTAGTGGTTCATCACTTACATATAACACCCAGGTCTCACCATAAGAGAGTTCCTCTTTCTCTGCATCCCTGCCAACATCTGTTTTTTACTGTGTTGTTCATTTTAGCCATTCTGACTGGTGTGAGGTGGTATCTTATAGTGGTTTTGATTTGTATTTCCCTGACGCTGAGTGATGTTGAGCATTTTTTCATGTGTCTGTTGGCCATTTGTAGGTCTTCTTCCAGAAATGTCTTTTCATGTCTCCTGTGCATTTCTTGATGGAATTTTTTTGGGGGGGTGTTGAATTTGATAAGTTCTTTGTTGGTTTTGGATACTAGCCTTTTATCTGACATTTCATTTGCAAATATCTTCTCCCATTCTGTAGATTGCATTTTAGTTTTGTTGACTGTTTCCTTACCTGTGCAAAAGCTTTTTATCCTGATGAAGTCCCAGTAGTTCATTTTTGCTTTTGTTTCCCTTGTCTCTGGAGACGTGTCTAGCAAGAAGTTGCTGCATCTGAGGTCAGAGAGGTTGCTGCCTGTGTTCTCCTCTAGGATTTTGATGGATTCCTGTCTCACATTTAGGTCTTTCATCCATTTTGAGTTTATTGTGGTCCAGTTTCATTCTTCTGCATGTGGCTGTCCAATTTTCCCAACACCTAAAATGAATGTAAATAATTTTAGAAGCAAGTTACATAGCAATGTAGTATTATAGCATAATCTGAATTTTGCATTTTATGTATGTGTATACGTACATTCATGTTTGTGCATATGTAGATACAGAAAAATGTCATTTGCGTCTGCCTGAGTCATAAGATCTTGAGTATTTTTTTCCTTTGGCTTGTTGTAATTTTTAAAGCTTTTCCCATTGAATATGTCTTATAAGTATATAAAAATTAATAAGAACCTAATAAGGGAGTTAGAGAAAAAAGTCAAGGTAAAAACCATACTTGTCTTCAGTGTTATCTATTACTATAGTATCACAGTGACCGGACATAGCACAAATACTACCTTGAATTTAAAACATTGTTGTCAGATCAAATCAGTATTTGATGATTTTTTTGTGTGTGTGGTCCTGGTAAAAGAAAGGTATTAAAAAGTCTTGCTGGCTCATTGGTTTAGAATGAAAAATTTATCTCCTCAAATTATGAGATTTCATCACAGGTTTCAGAATGCCCATGGGTAGACCTCAGATCTCCCATTATAGTATGATTTTCATGATTCTGTTTATCATTTTCTCCTACATACTAAAATTAAATAAAAATTTCTGTTTCTCACATGGAGTCATGAGCTTTTGGAGGATAACTGAACTATTGTGCTCATTTGCTCTGTAAACCATTACAGATGTTTAGATTGCCTGGAGCAGAACATTGAGAAAACAAATCTGTTAGACTGGCATACGCTTAGAAACATTACAAAAATAAAACCCTGCTAGAATTAGTATCATTCTTTAAAATAAAAGAAATTTAACAACTCTCTCTTCTAAAAAATGATACTGTCTTATACCTTTAACTTGATTAAGTTCAGTTTATTTTATCCAATATTAATGTTAACATTATATAATTGTGTTTGCTTTAAAAAATTTTTGTCATCAATTGTGAAAATCTTGCAGTGAAACTACTGTTCTGGTTAAAATGAATGTTTGCTTGTGTATAGGGTCAGTAGAGAGGATGATGAAGCTTTCCAGACCCCATCCGTAAAGGACAAAAACAGAAGAGAAAACATGAACCAGAATATGAATGTGCCCAGAAGTTTTGAGAGATCATACTCTCCCACTGCAAGTGAACCCTCTAATATTAAGTTTAATACTGGGGTGAGCATCTTCACTAAGAATGTAATGCTAGTGGTATAAAAAGATAAATTTTTATTTTAATGTTTGATTTCAAAGGAGACTTCAGAGTTCTTAGCCAGGGAAGGCCAAGTAAGGAAGAGTCTGTAAAACAAAGCAATTAATTTTCTAATTCAGAAGTTAAAAGTGATAGTTAAAAATCAGATTTTACTCTCAGCTTTGTTATTTTTAGTCACTTATCTCAGCTTTTCAAATTGTTAGTTCATTCAGAGTTGAAAAAGGGCCCTAACAAAAGTTATCACTATTTACACATATATATAAAAGCCATTTAAAAACATTTTTTTAATTTAAATTCAATTAGCCACCGTATAGTACATACTTACTTTCATATGTAGTGTTCAATAATTTATCAGTTGCGTATAACACCCAGTGCATGAAAGCCACTTAAATTTATGAATTGGAATGCATTGGCACTTCCTAATGGACTGTTCCCCAACCGTTCCCTCATTAGCATGGGAAAATTCATTGGATTGCCAAGAATTTCTTTCATTGTTCTCCTGATTGTCTATTCCCTACAGTTTCCCTAATGAAGACTAGGGATTCTGAGATGATCAGCATTTCTCAGAGTTGCCCACAAACATGCCTTCACTGAGGGGCTTATGAGTCAGTTGTGAAGCAGAGTGGGTGTTGTACAACCAGAGTGCAGAATTTCGAGCCAATTGGAACCGGAATTCCTGTTCTATATTTTACTGGCTATTTGACTTTGACCAAGATATTTAACATATTTGTGCTTCAGTTTCATTCTCCATGAGACTGTTTTAATGAGTTAATACTAGTAAAATGTGAGTTGAATATGTTTGGGATGAATCAGTTACAAAATGTCGTTTTTCTCCTCTCCTTGGTTGCCCATTTCTCCTGCTGTATCACTCTTCCCTATTTCCCTCTCTTATGAAGATGCAGAAGAAGGAAGATTTGCAGACCAGGGTAGAAAAGTTGATTCTTACATTTGCATATTCTTTCACTCTAGAAATATATCTAATAAGCCATCTTGTAAAAGTCAGAACATGAGAAAAAAATTTTCCTTCTAAACTTTACCTTATTTCTGGCCAGTGACAACATCCAAATGCTGATTGTTTCATTCAGATAATATTGGTTGATTGACTAGAGATATTTTTTTCATGGTGAATTATGGGGTGTCCAAAATGTTGGGAACTACAGGGCGAGCATATTGTTAAACTATTGGTTACATATTCCAAGTAATACGCTCTCTATGCTTTTCTTTAATATTCAGACTACCTTTTCAGGGGAAGTCTCTACATTTAAAGCAACAGGTTTTGTTGTTAATCTGAGAAAATACATAATCAACTATAGATGGGCCAAAAAGCCTGAAAAAATAAAATAGTATATTTAGGTACATTTTTTCAAATTAACAATTAGACACATTGTTTTGAATTTAGAAGTTGAAGAAAAAGTGCTGAGAACATTATTGCAGTTTAAAAATAAATTCATTTTCTGTTTCCTGACTATCCACTATCACATGGATTAAAACCTAGCAATGGAAACTTGTTACATATGGACATTATGGGAATGCTTCACTTATCAAATAGAGGTAGGATTGAAGAATCATGATTTAATGTTGACGAAGACTGATGTCATGTTATTCTGCTCAGAGATGCTATGAATATGTTAGTGATAAAAATCATCCTTTTGAGTTTTTCAGTATAATTTGATTAGAAGCCAAGCGTCAACATATTACCCAGAAAGGAAGTTTTGCTTGTTACCCGTGTGCTAACCATGGCTGTGTTCTACTCAAGGGTATATTGATAGAATGTGTACATACATCTACCATAAGATTCAGAAAATTAATATCAATGAATTTCATTAAGGTTTGTAACCATTGTAATACTGTCTTTCTCTCCTCTTGTCAGTGGTCTCTTAACTGCCAGCAGTTTTGTGCCATGTTCTTAAAGAGGGCTATGTTCTCTTGGCGCAACTGGAATTTGATGTTGATGCAGATACTGGGACTTCTGGGCATTGTTTATTTTCTCATGAGAGGAATGGAAATTTCAAGAAACAGAGTTGAAAATGCCAGGGAAATGGATTTGGAACAATATGGTCAAACCATTGTGCCTTTCTCAGATGATGACCGTTCTGATTTTTCTCAGAATTTAACAGAAATTCTTGAGATGATGCTAAAGGCTAAGAAACAAAAATTTCAGGAAGTGAAAGGTAAGGCTCTTTCAAAAAGAAAAAGACTGCTAATGGATGAAACCTGCTTGTATCACTTCCAAAGAGAGGTCCTGACTGGAATATTTAGCTGTTGCTCTTTACTTTCTTGATACTCACCAATCTCATAAAGGCAGCCAATTCAGACAAGAATCATCCTTCATGGAGACTGGCCACAGAAGTTAATTATTAATGGAGGCACTTTGACTGTGGGTCATCTGCCAGCTATTTGCTACATCTTCTAGGGAATGAATTGAAGTACTAAAATATTTTGTTTTGTAAAATTTAGCACAAAATCTCACATAAAACCAGGCTCACAATGTGGCACTAAATCCTGAACGTCTTCAGACAAGTCTCAAGATTAGCCATATTTTAAAACAGGTTAGGTTGAAGACTTTATGGGCAGGCTACTCTGAACTTACTTATTTGGAAGGTAGTAATAATAATTGATTACATGTACGGAACACTACTTTTGGCAAGAACTTTTCTAAATATTTCAATTATCTTGATTTCTGTAATGATTATACTTGCTTGAGGCTTGGAGATGTTAACTAAGTTGCCCCAAATAGTGCATCTAGTATGTATTAGAGTAGGCACTAGATTTTAGGACTGCCTAGTGGGAGTCTGCAATATTAACCCACTCACTATACTAAATCATCTCTAAGGAGCAAGTCTGTTGTGTTTCAAGGCTTTCATTTCCTTCCAGGTATTTCCTTTGCATTTCCTTCAGCTGCTGCCTCATTGACAGTATTGGTTTAGGTTAGCATAGAGCCTGTGCAGTTTGGCAGGTTGTTTCTCCTTTATCCTTTAGGTTCCATTGTGGGAGATGAAAATGCACTGGGAAATGTTGGTTATTACTTCTATCAATATTCTGATTTTACAACATATACATTATAGGCTGGGTGGCATAAAAGCTGTCATTAAATCACATATTCCTTTTCCTCCTCCATGACAGGAGTACTAGACGAACGCTTATTGTCAAAGATCACATAGTTTAGCAGAGAAGAGGGAGAAATGAATTTCCCTGATTCATAATGTGGTCCCTTTTCCACTATATTATATTGTTTATACAAAAATAAAAACACTGTACCTCACAGATCTATCAATAGTAATGTTGTTTCAAATGGCAAGATTGCATTCTTTTTTCACGCTGAGTAATATGCGTTTGTGTATCTAACATATGTATGTATATATGTGTGTATATATATCCATTCTTTATCTGTTCATCTGTCACCAGATACTTGGGTTGCTTCCATACTTTGGCAATTGTAAATAATTCTGCAGTAAACATAGGGGTGCATATAACTTTTCAAATTAGTGTTTTTGTTTTCCTTGGGTCCATACCCAGTAGTGGAATCACTGGATCATATGGTATTTCTATTTTCAATGTTTTGGGGAACCTCCATACTGTTTTCCACAGTGGCTGCGCCAGTTTGCATTCTCACCAGCAGCGCACAAGGGTTATCTGTTCTCCACATCCTCATCAACAGATATCCTGACCCGTGTGAGGTAGTATCTCATTGTGGTTTTGATTTGAATTTCCTGGTGGACTATATTTTCTCAGTGAAATTAAGCTAAAAGCTGTGAGGTTTGTGTGGATTATTCATAGAGTTCTTGAGTTGAATGGTCAAAATGTATCAGAGCTGTTGTGAGACACTGGAAATACAAAAAATATCGGGCAAGTGAAATTATTGGGTTCTCCCTCTCCAAAATGTATACCAAGTGATCTGTATTGCATGCTGAGCCTGTGGTCATTTATTGTTTTCTCATTCCAGGTGGCTTAATGAAATACTTGCAGGAAAGTCAAGAATGCATTTACTCATGCATTATTGCACTTTCCTTTCACGTTGTTGGAAATAAAAAAATAGTTACACTTTGGTTCAACAACAAGGCATACCACTCACCACCATTATCCCTGGCAGTATTAGACAATCTTATTTTTATGGCACTTTCTGGCCCTGATGCTTCAATTACGGTCTCCAACAAACCTCAGCCTCAAAATATTGTGTCTAAAAAACTTGAGGGAAGGTATGTATGCTTTTTTATTGGGATTGAACTTGGTATTTAAATATAGTCCTTCTTCCCTATCTGAACACATTCTTAATAAAAAGTTAATTTTAAAAGTGAATAAAATAATAAAATAAATAATAAAAATATAATTTATAATAAATAAAAAGTTATTTTTAGAAACTAATATTTTCTACTTTGTTATCTTACCAATGTGTCCTCTTTATTCATTCCTTTGTAGAAAAATACCAGGAATGCAGGTAGCCTTGAATTTGTTTTTTGGTGTGAGTATTTTTGTCAGTGGCTTTTGTCTTCTGACAGTGACTGAGAGAATCACTAAGGCAAAGCACATCCAGTTTGTGAGTGGGGTCTCTGCCATTAATTTCTGGCTCTCTGCTCTGCTGTGGGACTTCATCATCTTCTTCACTGCCTGCTGCTTACTAATGGTGAGTGTTAGACAAAGTCTTTTGTGGGGCTTATTTTCTGGTACATCCCAGAAAATTCTACTTGGCTAATATTAACCTAAATCTAAATTTCTCAAGAAAGAAAGAAATACTTTGGCTCACTATGTCAGGGAATACATTGTGGAATATGCCTCAGTGAAAATCTTTTCCTTTATATTCTTTTAAAACAAAATGTTCTTGTTTGAAGAAACAGAAATGTGTCTTTTAATCTACCTTCCAGACATGCTTGCTCTCTAATGTGTATTGGCCCCAAGGCTTCTACAAATACGTAAGGATATGACCTGTTATGCTACAACACCAGTCCCATATTAAACAAAGACAAATATATTTTTTTAAGATTTTATTTATTTATTTGACAGAGAGACACAGCGAGAGAGGGAACACAAGCAGGGGGAGTGGGAGAGGGAGAAGCAGGCTTCCCGCAGAGCAGGGAGCCCGATGCGGGGCTCGATCCCAGGACCCTGGGATCATGACCTGAGCCGAAAGCAGACGCTTAATGACTGAGCCAACCAGGCACCCCAAAAGACAAATATTTTTATAAATACTTTTCTCCTGCCTCTAGTCATCTGATTGCCTCAAGAACAAGAATAGTAGTGGAATCACTGGATCATATGTATTTCTATTTTCAATGTTTTGGGGAACTTCCATACTGTTTTCCACAGTGGCTGTACCAGTTTGCATTCCTACCAGCGGTGCACAAGGGTTATCTGTTCTCCACATCCTCATCAATAGCTACACTGACCTGTGTGAGGTAGTATCTCACTGTGGTTTTGATTTGTATTTCCTGGTGGACTATATTTTCTCAGTGAAATTAAGCTAAAAGGTATGAGGTTTGTGTGGATTATTAATAGAATAGAGTTCTTGAGTTGAATGGTCAAGATGTTTGATTTTGTGCCACGGACCATTCAAATTTTGTGCATGTGTGCGAGCATTTGCACATTTGAATATTGAATAGATAATGAAGAATTGTTGAAACTCTTATTGAAAGCAAAGTCAGGAGAATGTGGTCTGTTTATACTTGTCACTTTCCTTATCTTTCCGACATCTGGCATCTCCAGAGCCATCCTTCTGTCAGAAGGACCAGTGAGATACTGCTGTGAAAGTTAAAGCAAACCCATTTGTTATAAATGAGAGGTAGGGCATATAACACCCAGTGCTCATCACAACACCTGCCCTCCTTAATACCCATTTCATTTGGTGTGCTCCCTTTTTGGCTCTGTGAATGAATCATTGAACACTACCTCAAAAACTGATGAAGTACTATACAGTGGCTAACTGAACATAAAACAAAAAAGAATTAAAAAAATAAAAATAAATGAGATGTAGGGCTTGGAGGCCAGTTTCACTGGCTCCCATGCCATTAGAAAACTTAGGATCATTGTCCATGGTGCTCTAAGGTTGGAAGGTTGTAACTTTTGGTTCTGAGGAAGAGCGGCCAGCGTACACAAACTAGAACAGATAAAAGAGATTAGAGGCTGGAAGTGGTGGGGAGAGCACTTCATGAATACAGAAAGCTCCAGGGTAGAAAGAACATGACACTCCTTCTCTGCCGCCCTGTGCAGTATTGTAGACAAGGTGCTCAGCGCTGTTCTCTTCTCACAACTTACCAGACAGCCACTTAGCACAGTAAGGGCAAACCACTAACTTTGTGAGGGTCACTAATCATTTCTGTCATCACGGGAACTAGGAGAGCTACATTATGCACACAAACCGAAAACCCCAAAACTTTACATTATCTCATCACTTAAGCTGCATCCCACAGGTTTGATATTCATTATCACTAATTCATAAATATTTCCTAATTTCTAAAATATTTTTGAACCATGATGTTTACTAGAAATGTATTATTTGATTTCTAAGCACTTTGAAAATGTATTCATAGGTTAATAGCTCTTTGCTCAGAAAACATACTGTGAATGATTTCAGTCATTTTAAATACATTGTCATATGTTATGAACCAGCATGTGGTCAATTTTGGTAAATATTTTATGTGTACTTGTTAAGAATGTGTCTCCTGTTGTTATTGGAGACTTTGTTTATGTCTGTCATAGACTCAGTTTTGTTTAGAGCTACTCATCTCTGTTGTTACTGATATGTTGCCTATTTGTTTTTCTTTTCTGTGAAATTTTGATATAGTTTGAAACTTTGCTTCATATAGTTTGCTTTATACCTACAGTTTATATATTCTTCAGTGCATATGTATTTATAATTGTATTTTCCTGATGGACTGACCCCTTTATCACAATGTTGTTTCTCCCTTTTATCCCTAATGATGCTTCTAGCCTTAAAATATGCTCTTTCTAGAAATAGCATAGGTACTTTGAATACTCTTTCCTTGGTAAATGTTTTTTCATCTTTTTGCATTTAGACTTTCTGGGCCTTCATATTTAAAAAAAAATTTTTTTATAAACAGTATATAGTTGTGTTAGTTTTTTTCCAGGCTAACAAGCTGGCCTTATAATTGCAGTATCCAAAGAAATACTGATATTTTTGGGTTTATTCTTTTCTTATTTGAATTGTTTTATTTCCTATTTCTCCTTCTGTTCTCTATTAAATTTATGTTAAATATTCTTTCAGTGACCATTCTAAAAATTAACATGCACATTTAGTTTTTTTTTTGTTTTTTTATTTAAAATTTTTAAGGAGGGCACATGATGTGATGAGCACTGGTATTATATTGAACTGATGAATCATTGAACATTATATCAAAAACCAATGATGTACTATACCTTGGCTAATTAAATTTAAATAAAAATAAAAGTAAAATATGTATAAAAATTTTTAAAGATTTTATTTTTTTACTTGAGAGAGAGAGAGCAAGTGGGGGAGAAGGGCAGAGGGAGAGGGAGCAGTAGAGTCCCCGCTGAACAGGGAGCCTGACCTAGGGCTCAATCCCAGGACCCTGGGACCATGACCTGAGCTGAAGGCAGATGCTTAAATAACTGAGCCACCCAGGTGCCCCAAACATGCACATTTGATTAATTACTGTCAGTGCAAGTTTTGCTTTTACCACTTCCCTGACAATGCTAAGACCTTACAGCCTTGTCATTCCAGTGATGCCCTCCAACTTCTTGCATTATTGTGATAAGGCATTTTAATTTTACATTATTTATCATCCACAACCTACTGTTATTTTTGTTACAGTAAATATTCACTTGTACTTATTCACTCATATTCATTTCTGTAGTTTTATCTGGGATCATTTTTCTCTTCCTGAAGAACTTCCTATGATATTTCTTTTAGGAAAGTTTTAACTGCAAAAAAAAAAAAAAAAAATCTTGTAGACTTTGATTGGAAATAATTTCACTTTTCTTATCCTTTGAAGAATATTTTGTTGGTCCCCCCCACCCTCCCCCCCACTCTTTAGTGATGCTGTTCCATTGTCATGGCTTGCTTTTTCATTTTTCAACAAGGAGTCAGCTGTCAGACTTCTTACAATTCCTTGGAAAGTAATATGTCTTTTTTGCACGTTTTCTTTTACTATTCTTTCTTTGAGGTAGGTTTTTAGCATTCTTACAGTATTGTGCTTAGGTTTCTTTGCATTTACCCTGCTTGGTGTATTCAAGGCTTCCCGAATCTGAAGGTTGGTATCTGTTACCAGTTTTGTAAATTTCTTGGTAATTCTCTTGCTTTGCCTCTTACTTTTGCCTCTTGTTCTCTGTCTGCATGTGTATTGTTTCTTTTCACTGTGTCATGGATGCTCAAACACTGTTCTCTTTATTTTCCTTTTTTTTCCCCCACTGTGTATTTCTTGGTATATTTTCTATTGACTTCTTTTCCAATTTATCAATCATTATCTGCCTGTATCTACTCAACTGTTAAACCTATCTAATGAGTTCTTAATTTCAGATTTGTGTTCCTCAGATATAAACTTTGCAGTTAATTATTTTCAAAAATTTAAATTATCTTCTTCATCTGTAAACCTATGCTCTGCACCTTTTTATTTTCTCAGACATAGTCAACATAGTTCTTTTAATGTTCTTATGCATAACTTCGTATCTGGATCATATTCTATATATAATTCTCTAGCAGTAAGACTAGGACAGTTAAAGGAAATAGAAAAAAGAGAAAGAGGTTATAACTGGTGTATCATAAAAGAAGATATCCAAGTGGCCTATAAACATGGAAAAGCATTCAATTGCATTAATTATTGAGAAAATACTTAGCAGAAACAGAATGGTAAATGTGGTCAACAAGATAGCATAGTAGGAAGTCCCAAGTCCTTTCTCCCCCGTGAAGGAAAAAAGAAAACAAGCAGAAACTCAACTGGTTTCTAGGAACTCTGGAAAACAGTCATCGGTCTGTGCCCCAAACAAGAAAATGTCACATTCAAAATGATAGGAAATTTCATAGCATATTTATGGGCTCTTGACTGAGCCTGTCCCTAGCATAGCAGTCTCGGTCTGGAGGCTATGGCAGTCCAGTTCCCAGCTCTCCCCTGAGGAGGAAGAGGTAGAACAGACCTTCCTTACTTCCAACCTTCTGACTTGTCTAGAGGCTGCAAGAAGACTGCTCTCTTTCTTGCCTAACTTGGATTTTGGGTAGGGAAAAGCAGTACTAGCCACAGCTTGTAAACCTGCAGGAAGATGCCTGGAGGAAGAAATGACAAGTTGAGACATAGACTGTCTAAGGCTTCCACGAGCCCCTAGTGTAAGGCCCTGGGAAATTAAGACATTTCAAAGCAGCTCTGTATGTCAGGAAGGGAATCGAGAAAGCAATACCTAGGCCAAGATAGTGCATATGCTCATAAAGACATGAGAAGACTTTAATCTTGATGGGATAGGAGTCATCCCTAGTCTCAGAACAAACCCCACTAATTAGTGATGAACTGCCCTGACACAGAGTCAGTCTGCAAGGGCTGGAAGAGGTGGCTGATATTTTAAATACCCAAGTTTCTACAACAACAACATCATAAGGCCTGCAAATAAACAGGAAAACATGGTCTATTCAAAGGAAGAAAATTAAATGACAGCAACCATCCCTGAAGAAGTACAAACAGCAGAGCTGCTAGACAAAGACTTTAAAACGACTGTCTTAAATAAGCTGAGGAAGTTAATTAGTGCTAAACCTACCCCACAAGAAATGCTAAGGGATTCCTTCAGGTTGAAATGAAAGAATGCTGGACAGTAACTCAAATAATGTAAAGTCTCCAATAAAGGAAATACAAAAACCAGTTGTCTTAGTCCATTCTGACTGCTATAACAAAATAGATATGGTGGATTACGTAGCAGAAATTTATTTTCTCACAGTTCCAAAGGCCAGGAAGTCCAAGATCAAGGGGCATTTGCTTTGGTTTTCCAGTGAGGGCTCTCTTCCAGGGTTTGCAGATGACTCTCTGCTCACTATGTCCACACATGGCAGAGAGAGCGAGCAAGAGCGAGAGCTCAAGAGCAGGCTTTCCTCTTTCTTCTAAGGACACTATCCCATCACGGGGCCCCACCCTCATGACCTCATCTTAACCTGATTACATCCCAAAGGCCACACCTCCAGATACCATCACAGTGGAGATTAGGGCTCAAAAATACTAAGCTTCTGACTTTAAAGATAAAGGAAGTTGCCATGAGCTGAGTGATGCAAACAGCCTCTGGAAAGCTTGAAAAGGCAAGAAATTGAATTTCTCCTAGAGCCTCCAGAAGGAATACAATCTTACAGACTTTTTTTTTTATCTTAGTCTAGTGAGAACCATTCCAAAACTATAAGATAAATTTGGGTTGTTTTAGCCACTAATTTGTGAATTTGTTACAGCAGCAATAGGAAACAAATACATAGACTATACATACCTATCAGAATAGCTAAAATCTAGAAAGCTAAAATACCAAATATGGATAAGAATTTAATGCAGTGGAAGCTACAGTTACTATTGATGGGAACATAAATTGGTCCAGTTACTTTGGTAAACAATTTGGCATTTTCTTCTAAAACATTGAAGGTTTGTGAAAAAATATATAATCTCCGATGCATATATATGTGCAGCAGGAGACATATACAAGAAGGTTCTTAAGAACGTTATTCATAATAAACATGGCAAACAGCTGAAATATTTATCAAATATAACAGATGAGTAAAAGTGATACACTGGAATACTAAAGAGCAATGAGAATGAACTACCACACTAGGCAACAGTGGGGATGGATTTCACAAATACCATGTTAGCAAAAGAAGCCAGGTAGGAAGAAGTAAATACTACATAATTCCATGTATAGTTGAAAAATACAAGTAGTATTTAGGGATGTTTTTGTTAAAACTGTAAAGAAAAGAAGGAAAGTGATTATTGTAAAGGTCAGTGTAGTGTTTACCTTCACAGAGGAGGGAGATATTGTGTCTTGAGTGGCATTAGTATCCTTGGTAATTTCACAGCAGTGTTTGTTTTGTAATAATTCAGTGATCTGCTTATCTATGTTTTGTGTATTTTTGAATGTGTTACATTTCAAAATAAAATTTAAAATATTCAACTAAATATCTTATGGATATTTTTGTTTATAGACTAATTTGGGGAATATCTGCATTTTTACAATGTTGAATCTTCCTATCCAAAAATGTACATTTTATAATTAATGAAATCCCTAAACATTATACCTCTTTCAACAAAAAAAATACCTAGGTCACCCCAAATTCTAAGTATTTACATGCACTGCATTTCTCTTGAGACTGAAAGTCTGTGATGACAGAAGCAAAGTAGCCATGCCCATAATACCCAAATATTTTCATCTATGCTATGTTTATTTCTTTGTTGCTTTGTCTACTACAACTGAGAACCTGCTTTCAATCATTAGTAGCTATTCTCAGCTTATCCCTACCATCCACTTCTCAAGGATCTTGCTACATAATCATTTAATAGCTCACAATAAATAATTCTGGAATATTTGTGGAGAAACCACAGTTTTAACAACTTATAAGATGTCAATTTCTGGAAATTTATTTTCTGTAACAACTCTATAGGTTCTGTGTTCCCTTACTTAGATCCCCTCTAACTTTGAGTTTCCCTGTGTGCTTCTCAACTGAGTGGCTGATGGAGGGAAAGGAGGAGTAGAAAAACAGAGTAGAGTCAATAGATAGAATCTAAAAATGGAGAGCCATGAAAGGTAGGTCCTTAGCATTACAGTTTACAGCGGCCAGAATGTAAATCTTAAAAAAAAAAAAAAAAAAAAAGTTTTTCTACTAGGTGATCTCATTTCTGGAAATATTGAGAATTTGGCTTATTTGGGGTTGGAAGAAGGAGAAGAAAAAATATACTTTGGTCTTGTTCAAGGAGAACAAAATGAAACTTTTTCAAGTAGATGTAAACAAGTAGGCAAATGGGATGTGCTCACTTAAGGGAGAAGTGGAAGAACCTCATAGCCACGCTCACAGACAAAATTATTTGATTAATAAATACTTATGTGGGGGCGCCTGGGTGGCTCAGCGGTTAAGCGTCTGCCTTTGGCTCAGGTCATGATCCCAGGGTCCTGGGATTGAACCCCGCATCGGGCTCCCTGCTCGGCGGGAAGCCTGCTTCTCCCTCTCCCACTCCCCCTGCTTGTGTTCCTGCTCTCACTATCTCTCTCTCTCTGTCAAATAAATAAATATTTTTTAAAATAAATAAATAAATACTTATGTGTTCTAACAAAGGAAGATTTTCTAAGTTATTAGACTGAATTCTTAGGCATTGCATAGTTTTCTCCACTTTGAGTTGACTTGTGTACTCTCTGTCTCAGGTGGTGTTCCTATTATCTGGATTGGATGCACTGACCAAGAATTACTGCTTTCTGGACACATTGGTCATCTTCATGCTGTTTGGCTGGTCTGTCATTCCCTTCACATACCTGATAAGTTTCCTTTTTTCTAGTCATACCAGTGCCTACATCAAGCTCGTTATGTTAAACTACTGTGCAGGAGTTTTCAGCATAGTAATGGATATAATAATAACCACAACATCAGGTAAGGACATCACACCATTTCCCCCATAAATAAAGAAATATTGTCTTGAAGATAAGAACAGTACAAAGTTATTTTGTTCTGGATTTCTGGGAAAATTTACACTACTTCTAAGTTAATAACCTTTTATTAAGTGTCACAAATATTATAGCCATTATGTTGGGTACAATGCAAGACAAATTAAGGCACTTACATTTTCACTAACCCAGTCCTTCAGGCCATTAGCCCAGGCTCTGTACAATATTTATTCTGATTTCATTTTCCTCCTTTGACTTTGAGATTATGGAGAGATCGATTGGACTGGCAATGATGGCAAAGAGAAGTTTCTTAGAACACAGATGCTGCCACTCCTTTATTAAATTACTCTGTAAACATTAATTAGATCTTTTTTAAGTAATTTAGCCATACTGGGTCTTGCGGAGACTGAGAGGGATAGGCTTCTAACCCATTTACTGACCTTAGGCCTTGCCCTCCCACAAAAGAATTCCCTGAGTTAGTTGGAAACCTATTTTAATATTCCTTGCACAACTCTTCAATGAGCAATATTAAGCCACATGAAGAAGAATTGATCTCTGAATAACAGACTAAGAAACATGTAGAAGGATTTATACTGCAGTGCTCATTTTTAGTCCCAAAACTAACAGTCAGTCTGTGTTAGTTTTCTATTGCTGTGGTAGCAAATTGCTGCAAACTTAGTAAATTATACAAATGTATCATCCTACAGCTCTGTAGATCGGAAGTCTATCACAGGGCTTATTGCGCTAAAATCAAGCTGGCTGCAAGGCTGCAACCCTCTCGGAGGTCTTTTTATTTTTATTTTAATTTTTTTTTATTATGTTCAGTTAGCCACCATATAGTACATCATTAATTTTTGATGTAGTGTTCAGTGATTCATTAGTTGCGTATAACACCCAGTGCTCAATCACAGCATGTGCTCTCCTTAATACCCATCACCCTGCTTCCCCATCTCCCCATCCCCCTCCCCTCTGAAATCCTCAGTTTGTTTCCCGGAGTCCATAGTTTCTCATGGTTTTTCTCCCTCTCTGATTCCCACCCCCTTCAGTTTTCCCTCCGGTCTTCCATGCTATCCTTTATGTTCCACATATTAGTGAAACCATGCGATAATTGTCTTTCTCTGCTTATTTCACTTGGCATAATCCCCTCCAGTTCCATCCATGTCAATGCAAATGGTGGGTTTTCATCCTTTCTAATGGCTGAGTAATATTCCATTGCCTATATGAACCACGTCTTCTTTATCCATTCATCTGTTGAAGGGCATCTCGGCTTCTTCCACAGTTTGGCTATTGTGGACATTGCTGCTATGAACATTGGGGTGCATGTGCCCCTTCTTTTCACTACATCTGTATCTTTAGGGTAAATACCTAGTGTAATTGCTGGGTAGCTCTATTTTTAATTTTTTGAGGAACCTCCATACTGTTTTCCAAAGTGACTGTACCAGTTTGCCTTCCCACCAGCAGTGTAAGAGGGTTCCCCTTCCTCCACATCCTTGCTGACATTTGTTGTTTTCTGCCTTGTTAATTTTTGTCATTCTAACTGGTGTAAGGTGGTATCTATACAGAAAAATGAAACTGGACCATTCTCTTACACCATACACAAAGATAAACTCAAAATGGATGAAAGACCTCAATGTGAGACAGGAATCCATCAAAATCCTAGAGTTCTAGAGGGGAGGGGGATGGGGGATGGGCTAGCCTCGTGATGGGTATTAAAGAGGGCACATATTGAATGGAGCACTGGGTGTTATACACAAACAATGAATCATGGAACACTACATCAAAAACTAATGATGTAATGTATGGTGATTAACATAATAAAATAAAATTTAAAAAAAATCCTAGAGGAAAGCTCTTTGACATCGGCCACAGCAACTTCTTTCAAGACAGGTCTCCAAAAGCAAGGGAAACAAAAACAAAAATGAACTTTTGGGACTTCATCAAGATAAAAGCCTTCTGCACAGCAAGGGAAACAGTCAACAAAACTAAGAGGCAACCCACGGAACGGGAGAAGATATTTGCAAATGACACTACAGATAAAGGGCTGGTATCCAAGATCTAGAAAGAACTTCTCAAATTCAACACCCAAAGAACAAATAATCCAGTCAAAAAATGAGCAGAAGACATGAACAGACACTTCTCCAAAGAAGACATACAAATGGCTAACAGACACATGAAAAAATGTTTGTCATCACTAGCCATCAGGAAAATTCAAATCAAAACCTCTCAGAGGTCTTAGGGGAGAATTTGTTTCCCTTGCTGATTTGGATTGCTGGCAGAAATTCAGTTACTTGAAATTGTAGGCCTAAAGTCAGAATTTTTTGTAAAATAGATATTTTTTCTTTTTAAAATATTAGGTAGGACTCACCAGTGAAATGCCCAGGGCTTGGATGGGTGCGTGTGTGTGTGTGTGTGTGTGTGTGTGTACATGTGAAGTTTTGGTTATAATAAATTTATATACATAAATTTATGGTTATAAATTTAATTTCTCTATAATATAGGGCTAGTAAGATTTCTCATACCTTTTTGTGAAATTTTTATAAGTTTTTAAAGAACATTTGCATTTCTTCTGTTTCTAAAATTATTGGCATTGAGTTGTTCATAACATTCCCTGTGATCCTTTCAGGTCTATAGATATTTATTCATATCTGCTCATCCATTGCTGGTATTGCTGTATTCACTCACTCTCTCCCAACCTTTCCCTCTTATCAATCTTTGTCAGGATTTTTACCAATATTTTAATCCTTTCAAAGAGCTACCTTTTGGTTTTATTAATGTTTATGTTTTGTGTCCTATTGTATGGATTTTTGTTCTTATATTTTTATTTTTTTCTATTTACTTTGGATTTAATTTATGTACTTATTTGTTAAGTTAAATATTGTAAGATTTTTTTTTAATTTTATTTTATTATGTTATGTTAGTCACCATACAATACATCACCAGTTTTCGATGCGGTGATCCATGATTCATTGTTTTCGTAAAACCGATTTTAAGCCTTCTTTGGAATATATAAGCATTTAAGCTATAAAGTTTCTTTTTTGTTGTTTCAAGTTTTTATTTAAATTCTATTTAGTTAACATATAGTGTAACATTGGATTCGGGAGTAGAATTTAGTGATTCTTCACTTATGTACAACACCCAGCGGTCATCACAAGTGCCCTCCTTAATACCCATCACCCATTTAGCCCATTCCCTACACACCTCCCCATAAGCTATTAAGTTTCTATCCAGCTATTAACTGTTGTAGTTGCATCTTACAAATTTTGATGTATTTTATTTTCATTGTCAGGTTGAGTTAGAACTATTTGAAATTTCTCTTGTAACTCCTACTTTGACTCATGCATTGTTTACCAAATATTTGATGACTTCCTAGAGATTTTTGTGATTGATTTCTTATTTATTTCTATCATGGTAAAGGTCAATCCCAATATTTCAGTCTTTTACAATGGAATTATCCTTCAGGACACCATCACTCTAATCTGAAGTACAGGAAGTGTCCATGTCTCATTCAAGGCAGTCCTACATTCCAAAGTCCCTTAAAAGATTTGATATTGATTGAAATGTCAGAGCTGTTACTCAGCATGTCTACATGTCACAGCATGTCACATAAAACAATTATGAAATAGATACTAAGTCTGACCTCTTGTAGGAATTTAGTGTTCTCCAAGAAGTAATTCTAAGATGGTTGGTTCGGGGTAATCTCTGTCCACTTTTATTGGAAAAGTAATGCTGTTATTTAATAGTGGTTTTTTTTTTTTTTTCATAGACAAGGGGCTGCTAAATAATATTCTTTAACGAGAGCTATGAACATAATTTAAAGGCACCAAAATTGCAAAATAATCATTAGTCATTATAAATTCAATATCCTGATGTCCAGAGCCTTATTATATATTTGTTTAACATGAAAGGAGATTAAGAGATGGTCTTTGAGAAAAATCAGAACATTTCCCCCATAAAACTTAACAGAGCTTTTAATAAATGTCACATTGGAATAGATGAGCCAACTGGGAATCTAGATGGTCTTACAGAAAGATTTCCTAGGGGCTGTATTTTTTTTTTCTCTACAACTCTGCAGAAACAATGTTATAGGTATAGAGAAGCACTGGGAATATTTTGCTAAAATCTTTCTGTTAGGTTCAGTGTTGCTTTTCAAAATCCTTGTTTACATTAGGGTTAGACCTGCAGACAGAAGACTTACCTTAGCTAAGCCACTCCTCAGTTTATATCCTGGACATGGCTCCTCATCTCCTGATTAGAATATCTTCATCTATAACGTAGGAGTAATACTACCTGTCTCACAAACTTGTGGAAATTAAACAAATAAGATACATGATCTCACATACAAGTGTAATTTTAAAAAGTCAAATACATAGAATCAGAGAGTAGAACAGTGGTTACACTGAGGGAGAGGTGGAGAAAATGGGAAAATGTTGGTCAAAGGGTACAGAGTTGCAGTTGAACAACAAATTATTGAATTTATAATAACAAGATTATTTTGCAGTTTTGGTGTCTTTAAATTATGTGTATAGCTCTCCTTAAAGAATGAATAAATCTGGAGGTCTGTTGTGCAACCTGATGACTATAGTTAGTAATTCTGTATTGAATACTGGAAATTTGCTAAGAGTAGATTCTAGGTGCTCTCATCACACAAAAAAGAACTATGAGACAAGATAGGCTAATTATCTTGACTGTAGTAATTACTTCACTATGTATATGTATATCAAATCATCTTGTACACCTTAAATATATACAATTTTAATTAAAATGTTAATATGTTAAAACATGGAGGGGCTTTAAAAGTAAAAAAAAGAAAGAAAGAAAGAAAAGAAAAGCAATATACAAGCATACCTTGGAGATAATGTGTGTTCAGTTCCAGACCACTACAATTAAGAGAATATTGCAATAAAGGGAGTCATATGAATTTTTTGGCTTCCCATACATATGAAATTGATGTTTACACTACATTCTACTAAGTGCTCAATAGTGTTA